TCAGTATCATGTTGCTAAGTCAATATTACTAACAAAATTGCTAACTGGAAGTTAACATTTGGCTCATTCTTAGTATTTGGATAGGTTAGGATAATATAAAAGATCTGAAAAAGATTTGAATAGAAAATAGAAGTTACCTTAAATAATAGGAATATTGGTATAATAGCTATTCTTTAGCCAAGGACTAGAGAAGTTGAATCTGGAAAAGTTGCAAATAATGCTAGTGGTATGGGAAATGTTTGGTTACTTTAGAAGAAGACATCAATTTGCTGGTGTTGCCTAGTTAAAATGAGTATGTGCATGCCTTGGTTTGATCAGGTACACCTTTTTTAATAACTTTGATGTATGCCTCTAATAAAGAGTCACATAAAAGGGGGATGTGTGAGCAATTGGAGCTTAATAAAGTTGTCCAAGTTACTTGGATCATTCTAGAAATTTTAATGCAATAAGTGATCCTAATGAGCCTTTAAATACTCCTGATCATTCAAGTAGTATGTAGGATTTAAAAAATTGATAGAGTGAACTTGAACTTTTTAAACACAAGTCTTCAATCCCATGGTTTACATGGCTCACCAAATGGTCTAGAAATCTCATTGCTAGGAGATTTGATAGAGAATTTGTCAATGCTAAATGGTTAGAGAGTTTAAATAATAGGGTAGTAGATATGCTAAAGCCTTCAGTTTCAGATCATCGTCCTATTCTTTTAAATACAGAAAATTCTACGAAGTCACTTTGTAAACCTTTTTAAGTTCTTTAAATTTTGGATTTCTTATCCAATTTTCAAGGACGAGGTTTGATGACTCGATATTTGCACATGTTTTCCCCTTTGTTTCTTGATTGTTTGAGCTTTAATTATCGCGTCTTTGGCCTATTTTACGCTAGGTTGTGTTCCTTTGTCACATTTCAGGTCCTAGCACATAAAGGGAAGCATAGGCGCAAGTTTCAAGTCAATCAGAGATCAATTGGCGATTCGGGAGAAGAAACTCGGGCATGACCTGAAGAAGAATGGATTTCTACCTCACTTTATGGACAAAGAATCATTCAAGCTTGTCATTAAAAGAAAGAGGACGAGACTACGAGCGTCTGGGATCAAACGGTGACTAATTGGGAGTCCGGACGAGGGAGAAACGAAGCATTGAATATAGGGGAATAAGTTCGCCAGTAAAAATACGGGCATACTACCCTAAAAACACGACCGTGTTTTATCTGGCACCCGCTAGTGTTTTTACTGCCGAGGGCATGTCGTGAGGGCTGCTGGGGGCAAAACACGGGCAGGCAAAAGTAAAACACGGCCGTGTCCTCAACCGTGTTTTGCCCAGAATTGGGTTTTTGAGACAGATTCAAGCCAAAGGAAAGAGAGAGCTGAGTTTTGGTTCCCAAACACCCAAGGGACGAACCCTAGAGAGAGAGCGCGACTTGGGAATATACTTGGAGCTATTTTGGAGGATTTCTTCGCCATTGGAGCTCGGGAATCAAGCTTGGAGATGGAGATTGAAGATCTAGATCAGATTTCTGCAGTCTCTCTCTTCTCTATGGAGTAACTTCCCTTCACTTAGGTTTTGAGAAACCCTAGTTCCATGTGTTAAGATCTTTCTTGTATGAAGTTTTGGATGTTATATTGTTTGATTATAATCGATTGAGGCATGATTTATTGAGTCAATTGAAGTCTGATAATCTTCTCTTGATTTCTGCTTTAACCTATGATAGATAGAATCTGATTAGGTTAAGAGAGCTTCCTTGATTGATAGTGGTGAATTGGTTGTCGAGAGTCAATCAATTCACTGCTTTGTACTGGAATTCATTCCAGTAGTGGAGATCTGTGTGAATCGCCTTAGCAGTCTATCCCGGTGAAGGCTAGTCGCCTGTCAGGTATTCTGTCTAAGAGGGCTTGGTCAGCTTAAGAGATTCCAAGCTAATTTAGGATCTTCCTCAGTTTAATCAACAGTAGATTAACCAAAGGTAATTGCAACTTGGACCTAATTGAGGAGCTAGGGGGAATCATACCTAAGTGAGTTTTCAACTTGTAATTAGTAGAGTAGTTAGTAGAGTAGTTTAGTAAATCAATCCTTAATCTAGTTTGCTAGATAATGAACTGAAGCTGAGTAATAGTAACTCTAGAGACCCGTGGATTCGATATTTATTACTTGTGCCACTATACTGCAGTCTCTTTCATTGGTTACAATTGGCCATTGTTAGGTGTTGTGTTTTAGCGTATCATGGTTAAAGAAGCTTGATATGCTAAAGTTAAAGAAGAAATCTACGCTTCAAGGATTGAAATTAAGGTTTTGATAAAAACCGGATTTGAAAGATCATGGATATACGAGGGTTTTTGTAAACATTATGGACTTTAAAAATACCATGGTTTGTTTTATAGATTTCATGGTGGATTGTGTTAATTCGATTTGTACATATGAAGTGAAATTCACCTAATTGCCCTCATTGGTATGAGAAGAGAAAGGAAATGAAGGGTAGGTTGGTCTCAAATTATAGACTTTAAGTCCTTGACCAATTCTCACCTAAATTGGTGGGATTTTCAAGTTCGTGCGCCCCATGGATTTGGAACCTCAAAGTGCATGGACCACGTAGATTTGTTGCCCCCTAAATACATGAATTAAACAATGAAATTTGGATAAAATCCGTGATGGACCAAATCCATCACTAAATCCATCAAGCAAACAACCCCTAAAGAAATATGGTTTAAGGAGGGGGATTCCAATACCTATTATTTTCCATAAATCTGTCAATATTCGTCAACAAAAAAATACTATCATATCTTTGTTTGATGAGCATGATGCTAGGGTCACTGATACGGAACAAATGAGTGCAATTGCTAATTAATTCCAACCAAAATTATTAGGAAATTATCATCCCTTAATGCAATATGAATATGTGAACTTTTATAATCGTCTTCTAAAAAAGAAGTTGAATCCTGCTTAAGTGTCAGATTTATGTAAACCAGTTACTAGTGAAGAAGTTAGAAAAATAATGTTCGGATTCAAGGGTGAAAAGAGTCTTGATCCAAATGGCTTATCTGCCTGTTTCTTTCATGTTGCTTGGGATATTATAGTCAGTGAGGTCACAGCTTCTATCCAATACTGCTTTGCCATTTTCATTGTTCAAAGAGAGGTAAAATCTACTCTACTTTCCTGTCTGCTTAAACGAAAAAAATCCTGAAGAAATGAAGATGTTTAGGACTATCTCTTGCTTCTTTATGAATGCATAGCTAAGATAATCTCTTCCAAATTGAGTGATTGCATCTCTCTGGTTATTAGTGTAAACCAATATAATTTCTCTGCTCATAGAGGTTTGAGACAAGGCCACCCACTGTCCCTATATAATTTTGTTGTGGCCATGGAGGTTTTCTCTAGTTTAATGAGGCTGGTTATTGAGGAAAAGAGTCTCCCTTTTCGTCCCATGTTTAAAAGAGTAGATCTTACTCACTTGATGTTTGCGGATGACTTATTGTTGTTTTCCTATGTATCAAACTTTGGTATTCAAAGAATCCAAGAGATTTTGGCTAGGTCTAAAACTCTCTCAGGTCTTGTCTCAAATACTGCCAATTGTGAACTATTTTGTGGGGGATTGCCTTTGGAATCACAACAAGATATGCCTTTCAGGGCTAGATATGAGCAATGTAGTCAAAATCGCGATTTAAAACTTAAAACCTTACGATTTTTATGTTTTTAGGTCACTAAAACGCTTCTTCACAAAATTTAAGTCTTTATAACCTATGTAGTTAAAAACTGCGCTTTAAAACTTAAAAACTTACGATTTTATGCTTCTAGATCACCAAACTCCGCTTTGGAATATGGCATGCATAGTGAGGCATATATTGGACCTTTTGTTGAAACAAGGGTCTCTTTGGCTTGCTTGGATGTCTGAACATAGGTGCACATACATGAGTTTTGGAATGTGAACGACAAAGTTGGTTCTTGAATTTGGCTTAAGCTACTTAAATCCAGGAACAAAGTGCAGAACATCATATTAGTAGCAGATGGAGTTGGGAAATGGAATGGACAGATTATGCAAAGATTCTCTAAGAAAGTCTGGTAGGTATTTAAACCTAGCAGTGCAGTGGTACCTTGGTGCATATAAGTTTTGAAAACCCATGCTATCTCTAGTAATCAGTTCTTATCATGGCTTATTGTTCAAGAGCATATCTCTACTTGTGACAAGTTGCTTGCCGGGAGATACTCGGGTTCATCTACTTGTGTCCTCTATCCTCATACTGTTGAAACTCATTATCAATTTTTTCTCAGAATGTACTCGATACAAACTTCTTTATTCAAAGATGTTACTCCTCGACCACCCTCTAATTGTTGGACTACAGAGCTTCAATGGGCTATATCACAGCTTTCAAGTGGGTGTAATGCTTCTAATACTCGTAGATTGATATGGAATGCTTTCATTACTAATATATGGAGAAATAGGTGCTCTATGAAGTTTAGAGGAGAGCATTGTGTTTTAGCCGATAGATTGCAATAGATAAAAAAAAAAAATTATGTTGAATCTGTTTATGGTGAGGGAAGATATGTCTTGTGATCTACCTAAGATGCTGCTTGTTCTTGGCTGTAAGTATAGAGAAAGTGTCAAACAGTTTAGTACTTACCTAACTGTCAAGGGATGTTTGGCAAGTACAATTTGTTTTGATGAAATATAAGCCAACCATTCATTAAAATAATTTATTTCTTGTCATCTTTTAGGTATGCTTTACAAGAGTTCTGGTGTGATTATACATATTTCTGATCTGTTTCAGGAAACTTTTGTTCTGTTTTAGGAAATTTGTGGTTTGATTTATGAAGTTTTTGATATGCTTTATGAAACTTGTGGTCTGGTTTATGAAATTTATTGTCTGCTCGGGGAACTTGTGGCATGTTTTAATGAGGTTATACATTAGCATCATGCTAATAAACCTGACCTCTTGTTTGTAGGTGGTTGAACAGGCAAGAACACATACATCCCACAAGAGAATGGAGCACAGTAAAAAGGACTCGTACTATCTAATAAAATCACTTTTATTCCAAAACACAAAAGTATCAGTTATACATGGTACAACAACGACTAATGACATATTACGAGCTCCCTATCCAACCTGCGATAGCTGCTCAAACATACATGAATTTAGCACCACGTAGAGCGTTTGCAGCTCTTCTCTCTTTTTTCTGCTTCTCTCCCGTTCTATCCCATGTACGATTGCTGCTCAAATATACATGAATTCACCACCACGTAGAGCGTTAGCAGCTCCTTTTCTCTCTTCTTCTGCTTCTCTCTCCCGTTCTTTCCAGCTCTCGTATTTGTGGTCGTCAGTCGGCAGCTCATGACGGCAAATTGGGCAAGAATTGTGCTCATCCTGCCCACAGGAAAAAAAAAAAAAAAAAAAAAAAAAATAACAGCAACAGATTGTCAGCAGCATGTTCCCTTCATCTCACGCCATAGTTGCAGCTTAGCAAAGTCAAGAAAATTACCAGCCAAGGCTTCAAACAGGGAGGGTGGAAGGTATGCTGGCAAGGCAACTCTTGCATCTTGTCTTCAACAACCAAATTCTCCTTACAAATTGAACAATCTGCTCCTGGTCCCAGCTTGGCCAAGATTTCATGTGTTATAGTGATAACAGGAAGATTCGCAACTACCTCTTTACTGGCTGGTGGTACCTTTGGGACTTTGGAATCATCATCAAGCATCTTTAAACAAACACAGAAACAGATTCCTATAAATACGAGTTATCATCCAAAGATGTACCAGAATTCATGTGTATGTGAGGGTCCTCTCGTAAGATTCTTAATCAAACAACGTAGTATGACACCAGCAGAATGGAGCAAATTTCTTTTACCTCGGGTATGACGTTGTTGAAGTTGGTAATGAGTTGTTCAAGTAGCATTGCACTACCATCTGTGTCAGCCTCGGCAGCACCTCTGGAGGACTCGGCTGCTAAAAGTCTCTCCATGATGGTCTCACTCTGAAGCCATAGAGGCTGTGGCGGTTCAGTATCCACTGTGAGATGACCCTCAAAAAGATACCCTCCTGAACCACACAACAACCACCTGAATTAGAATGCAAAACCACATTGCGTTTATGACCCACATAGGTCAATCAAATCAACATGGGGAAAGTCAAACATCTCAACAGACCTCTGCTTGACGAGGCAGCAGAAACATCGGGTAGATCTTTCTCAATTTGGTTCAAGTGTTCTTTCGCTTCGGAGACACAACTCCTCAAATGCGCCTTCTCAGAAGGCTCCGAAGCAAGGGATTCAGCGAGCTGGAATAGCCCTAATCCGGCGAGCCAGAAGCCAGGCGCCGTGTGCCTCGTTTTCAGAACAGTTGCAGCTCGACAAACAACCGAATAGAACTGTGGCGCGTGAGAATTATCCACGTTAGCCATGGCCAGAACAGCAATCAAAATTCGATGGAAAGGTAATCGCAATTTACCCCCAAATCACAACATTCAAAGCAAACCAGCACCTCAAACCTACAAAAGAGAGAGAGGGGGGGAGGGAGAGAGAATTTACCGACTTGCGTAGAGGAAGGGAAGCAGAGGGATAGCGATCGCGGAGAAGGGATTTGATGGAAGAAATGGCGTCCTCGAACCTCAGTTTCTTGCTCAGCTGCTTCTGCAATTCCTCCAGCTGCTGCTTCAATTCAGCTTCCGAATCCATTACAGCAAAAATCCTTGTAGTTGTCAAGTAGGAATTTGTTGTTGATTGCTGCTGGAGTTGGGAATTGGGTGCTTGATTAGATTCAATAATGTTCGCTTCTGTTTATGAGGAAATTGGGGCGTTGGTTTCTTGTCCAGGGGGAAACGGGAGACCGGAAGCTGGACGGGACCGTAGGCGACGGCGGCTTCTTGGGCCTAATTTAAAAGGGCTCTCCAGAAAGGGCTCTCCAGAATGCGCTTGCTCGGCTTTATGGAGGCCCAATGAGCCTTCGTCTTATCAAGTGCCCACCACCATTCATTCATCAACAAACTGACAGATTGAATGATTGATTTTTTTTTCTTTCTCCAAAGGTATCTCATAAGGTGGGAGACAGCAAAATACGAATATAAGTACAAGAATTTAGTAGGTCAAATTACAAAAAAGAAATAAGGAAGAAGCGTCGGACGATCCAACAATAAGAGGATTTTTTTACCACGAAATAGGCATCCGTAATATACCTATGCGTTGACCGGAATCCATGACTGAGCTTCAATCCTTTTCAGGGTGAAAGTCATGAACCGAGTCCAGATTGACATATGAAAACAGTGCAACGGAATCCTGCAAAATAAACAAACAACATAGGGCTCCATCAAAAGGATATACTTCATCCAAATCAATAAACGAGCCACCTCCATTGTTGGAGGAAACATCATCAGCTCTGCTGATGACTTTGAATGAGATGAAATTCTTGGTGCACAATACTCAGCAACACTCAGTTTGACAGTTTGTAGAACACGAAAAGATTTTATTCAATAATGAAAGAAACAATTCGATTATAGACACCAACCCTAGCCAAGACGTTGGCTCTTAGGAATCACAATAAAGACTAACTACTTCCCAAGCTTTAAGTCATCCAGATTGACATCACTATGACAAAGCTACTGAAGCAACAGATGGACCTAATGCAGAAGGAACACTCTACTATTTCACTCACTGCAAACCGCCAAAGAATTTCAGCTGAAGTGAATACCTAATTTATACAAGGAAAGACATGAAGCCATTTGAAGAAGATGACCGTTTCTGAGGGATCATCATCATCCTGCTTTGGGAGCTTTTGTAGAGGCGATGCCTCCTACTCCTTGATCTGGAATGAGAGTAGAGGAGCTGGAATTCGTGCCAAGCGCTCCTCGGTGAGGTCGAGAGCTTTTCTCGATGAAGATGAGAAGGCATGCAGTTTGATTTGTTCCGTTGTTGTTTGTGTTTGATAGACTTGGAAGAGCGAAATGCCATTGTAGAACAGAAGCCAAAAACGGTGTCGTGTATTGCTTGTGAAGCGGCATCGTTTCAGCCAACAATTTCCCCCTTCGATCAACAAGTTTGGAGAACCTAAAACAGAAACAACAAGCAGACAACAGAAAGCGAGGAAACTGGAAATTTGCATTAATAGAAAGAACATAGGGGGATACAAAAGATGGTAGATGAACCTTAGAAGGTTCCCCCTAAGCATCTGCAACCCTTAGAAGAGTGCAGGACAAAAGTAGGAAGTCCAAAACACAACGGACTCCTTGTTAAAAAATTCATACTAAAGCAAAGCTTTCCCCCTAAACTTGTGTTGAACTTGCACAAAGAACAACATTACAAAATTACTTGTTCATTATCTGAAATGCACAAGCAGACACTAAAATTTCTTAAGAAACAGAGGCAGGAGCAGATGCAGCAGAAACTTCAGAAGATGAGCCGCCATCATTCATAGTGAAGACCAGCTTTGCTGGGCTCACCAATGGACTTAGCCTTTTTGGAGGAGGAAGTCTTAGGACGTGGACCAAGAATGAAAGCAGAAGGGAGAGGAGGAGGAGGAATATCAGCAGGAAGGTCAAGGACCATCAGCACATTCAGAGCGCTGACATACATTGTTGAGGAAACACTTCTAAAATCAGATAGGTCAACTCCCAGATTTATCAGCAGGCGGGTGATGATTGACCCAAAGGGGAAGGAGACCTTGATAGTTCTCGTCACCAGCAGGTAGCATGTGGGAAAACAGAAGGCAGGAGTAATCAAGCTTGCGCCTGGCAGTGACAGTGGAGATAATCCAGAGGTCCATAGGAAGCACTCGATCGAGATTAAATGATCGAGGGAAGAAGACATGGGTGAGGAAATGATGAAAGATCCTCAAGCAAGGAGGAAGCCAGCTTGTTGGGATTGGCACATCAGAACCACCAGTTGGTTCTGTGGAGAAGTTTGCATACTCAGTAGTGATCTTAAACTCTTGCTTCCAAAACTCTGACGGGTGAGCAATGTCGAGTCATTGGGATGGGAATCCAAGTATCCCATTCAGGGCTTCAACAAGAATGGTCAGGAGGTGACCATACACGACAGTGGTGAAGCTTCGGGTGCTCACACCTTGACATCGAAGGTTTGAATAGAAGTACTTCACAGCTCCAGGACAGGCAGGATAAAGGGGCTGGCGAAGAAGAAAGTCCCAGCATAATCCTTCGATGAGTGAGATGATGTCATATTTGTAAAGGTTAAACTCGTATGGATCGAGTTGAGTAATATGGTGGAGCCTTCTATTACTGAGTGCTGGAGGTGGCAGTGATTGTTTATGACTGCTGGTTCATGAAACATATACCTTGGATAGGTATGAACCAGTCCATCAAAACAAAAAGGTTGGGGAAGGTGATCACTCATGTTGAAGGTGTTTCTTGGCTAACGTTTTTGGTTTGTTGTAAACGGTGAGGAGAAGAAGAGTATAAGGTAGAGTTTATATATCAGAGATGAATTAGATACATGAGAGGTAGTAATGATGATTGATTATCAGCATGCATAAAGTTTTCTTGGGAAGGCGCAGGCATGCAACGTAAAGTATCTTTTCTGCACAGATCAAGAGAAGCAAAATGCCTAGAGAAAGTAAGCCAATAAGATTTTCAGCTTTTCGGATTTTTTAATTTGTTCAAGAGATTTTAGCCCTATTTTTGTACACGGCAGAAGAAAACGCTCACTTGATAGGGGTTTAGTAAATAGGTCTGCTAATTGAAGGCAGTGGACACAAAATGTAAATGTATGTGTCCTACTTGAACTAGATCTCTTATAAAATGGTATTTTATTTCTATGTGTTTTGTTCTTGAATGTTGTACAAGATTTTTTGCCATACAAATTGCACTAGTGTTGTCACAACATACATGGATGTTTTCTAGTTTAAAACCATAGTCAACAAGTTGTGCTTTTTATCCACATAAGTTGAGTACAACAGCTTCCAGCTTCCATGTACTCAGCCTCAGCAGTGAATAATGCAACTGCTCCCTGCTTTTTGCTGAACCAGGACACAAGAGCTGGTCCTAGAAACTGTGTAGTTCCTGTTGTACTTTTCCTATCGATAAGACTACCTCCAAAATCAGAATCACTATATCCTACTAATACAAAAGAGTCAGTTTTGGGGTACCATAAACCTACTTCAGCTGTTCCTTTAGATATCTAAAGATTCTTTTTACAGCTTTGATGTGACTTCTTTAGGGTTAGATTGAAACCTTGCACACAAACCTACACTATACTGAATATCTGGACGACTTGCTGTTAAATATAGAAGTGATCCAATCATTCCTCTGTATTTTTTCTCACAACAAGGGATGCCAAATTCATCCTTGTCAAGTTTAAGATTTGTTTCCATGGGGGTAGATGCAGGGTTCACAAATTCTAGATTGAACTTCCTAAGCATAGATTCAATGTAAGCAGTTTGACTGATAAACATACCTGAGTCTGTTTGTTTAATCTGAAGTCCCAGGAAGTGTGATAGTTCTCCCATCATGCTCATTTCGAACTTTGCCTTCATAGACTCAGAAAATTTGGTACACATAGAAGGGCTAGTTGATCCAAACACAATATCATCAACATACACTTGTACTATTAAAGTATCAGAATTTTCTCTTTTTATAAATAATGTTTTGTCTACATTTCCTTGAGAAAAACCTTCACTTATTAAGAAAGATGACAGCTTTTCAAACCATGCTCTTGGAGCTTGCCTTAACCCATATAGAGCTTTTGACAATTTAAGCACATGGTTTGGGTAATTATGATCGACAAAGCCAAGAGGCTGACTCACATAGACTTCTTCCTTAATCTCTCCATTTAAAAACACAATTTTCACGTCCATTTGAAACAATGGTATTTTCATGTGGCATGCATAAGCACAAAGAATTCTAATAGATTCAATACGTGCAACAGGTGCAAATGATTCATCAAAGTCAATTCCCTCTTTTTGTGAGTAGCCTTGCGACACAAGTGTGGCTTTATATTTAGTTATGTGTCCCTCTTCATCTATTTTGTTTCTAAAGGCCCACTTGGTTCCTATGATTAACTTATCAATTGGTATAGGAACTAGCTCCCATACATGCAACCTAGCAAATTGTATAAGCTCTTCTTGAATCGCAATTAACCATTCATCAACATTCAAGGCCTCTTTGTAGTTTTTGGGTTCATGAAGAGAGACAAATGCATACTAACCTGGTCGATACTTACCTCGAGTATGAATACCATCATTTAGATCTCCAATGATTTGAGATGGAGGATGTCTTTGTTGTATGTGTGCAGGAGCATTGTTTACTTCCACTGTCATAGTGTCTTCTTCCTTGGTTTCTTCCACAGTATGCCCCTTTTCTTGCTCATCCTCCTCATTCCAAGTATGAAATAGAAATTCTATGCTTTCTGTGTTTTTCTTTCAGAACAAGCAGAGTCATCAAACTTAACAAATACTGCTTCTTATACCCTTTTGGAGTTTAAATTGTAAACTCTGTAAGCTTGACCTTTTGTTGAATATCCAAGAAATATAGCCTTTCAGATTTTGCATCAAACTTATGCAGATGATCTTTGGTATTTAAAATGTAACACTTACATCCAAAAGAGTGAAAGTATCCTAGATTTGGAGTTCTTTGTTTCAGAATCTCATAAGGAGTTTTATTCAGTGTTTTTCTAAATATTACTCTGTTTATAACATAAACAGTTGTCATCACAGCTTCTCCCCAGAGAAACTTAGGTGTTCCATACTATAACAACATAGTTCTAGCTGTTTCAATTATTGTTCTGTTCTTTCTCTCAACCACACCATTTTGATGAGGTGTTCTAG